CAAATAGAAAATTGAGAAAACTGTCGATCTCTGAGCTCTGGTATAAGATCTTGAAACGCTTCAAGCTTTTTAGCCACTGCTAGTGCATTAGCATTTCTCCAATGTTCTGATTTCGGCATACCGCAAGTACTTAAACCCTGATCTCTATAATAACAAACTAGATCAAGAAATATACAAGAAAGATCTTTAGCTTTTGTTCCTTGATTGACTGTTGAGGACTGCAACATTATTCTTGAACGTTTAGTGCTTTCGAAAAAAAAAGAATATGTTAGTTTTACCCATGTTTAAGTATATATTCTTATGAATTTTCATATTTCATTTACCCTTTTTTAAAAAAAAGGATTATGATAGGATTATTACAGATTATTAATCTAAAGGCTCTTTATTTCGAATTAATATATCATTTAACATAAAGTAGAATACTGCAAAAATGTAAAAATTTTAATTCTAGAAAGACCGTTAAGAGCTAATCAAAAATTTGTGAATTATTGTAGATTGTTCTAGAAGCGTTCTAGAAAAGATATCTATTTTTGGTAATATTTCCGACTGTAATAACAATAAGAATAGTATTCAAATCCTGTGATTCTGCATAGACTCTAATCTGACAACTACCACTGATCAACAATTTTTTTAAAGTAAAAAAACGCTACATTAGGGTTAGGTTTACAATTATAATAAGAGTTGTTTTATACTAAAATTTTGCAAGAAATTTTTTTTACTAATACGCAGAAAGTGATTACATAGACAAAATTTTGAGTTATGGCAATTTTTTTAAAAAACATGATTTTTTGTTTTGATTTTACGTTACACCCTATCTTGTAATTTAATTGGTCAATCGCTGTCATCAGTGAAAATCTGTGGTGCCACTGGGTACTTCTAATTTGATACTATCACAAAAAACCCAATTCACCCTGGTTACTCAGACCAAGTCTTTCCACACCTCAATCGTTGCCTTACTAATATTAGGGTTTGGTTGTACTAGTTGTGGTGTTCTGGTTAGAGTATTTTAGTAGTATTATTTGGACCCAGTGTATAATTCACACTTTTAAATTTGGTGGTGACTATGAGATTGGACTTCTCTTATCACCCAAATCACAATATCAACCCAAAACTACTACCTTAAACAATTATAACCAAGATTGAACTATCATTCTAATCAACACTGTGAGATCGAATTATTCTAATCAACTGAGAGATACAAATCTCTGAACCTGAGTGGTTGATGTCGAAGTTGGAATTCTGTGTAATTAAACTGTGGGTTGAATTGTATAATTCAAGAATCCAAAGTGCCTTAGTAGCAATTGACACTGTTTAGCAGAATTGAAGTTTGAAAAGAATAGAACCATTAGTGAAAAATATTGTAAAAATGGTTGTTGAGGAGGTTGTACAAGACCTGAGAACAGTCCAAGAAAAACAGCAAAAGCATAGATCATATCTTTGTCATGTGAGTCATCATAAAGGACACTTGGCTCATTCATGTTTATTCCAAAAAGATTAGATTCAAGATCAATGTCTGAATAACAACTGTATAAAAGTACATTTTGTTGAATTTAGTAGTGAGGACCATGGAGGTTTGAAATATAGTAAAAAAAGTGAGATAGAGTGAAAGTTAATAATAGTATGGTGATAGAAAAGTTGGTGAAAATAAATAGACAAGCAATGAGAGTATCAATTAGTACTAGTTCGAGTATGAATCTAATAAGCATAAATTATATGAAAAAGCATGGGTTTACCTAAAGACATTTGAATAAGAAACCTACTATTAGTCATAAAGTAATGAAATCATTAGGTATATTCCTGGTGCTAAAATTAGTGTAAATGGAATCAATGTAGTTCAAAGATTTTATATAATATGGGAGTTGGTCTCTAATATAATACTTAGAATGCTATAGGTAATAAAGATACACTATAATATTATATAGAAAAATAGAAAATTTGCTATATGATTCAGTCTGGCCTTAAAAAAGCAATATTTGTGCTTCTAGAAGAATCCGTGATTGATGAAAAGGTGATTGAAGAATATGATAACAAAAGAAAAAAGAATAGAATCATTAGTAAGATGAATGAAAAAAAAATCAATAGAAATAAACCTGATAAAGAATACATACCTGATATTCAAATAGTAGATAATGAAGATCTAGAAGGTTACAGGTGCAAATTTAATTGTACTGATAAACCTGTTAAAAGTAGTGCTAGAAATATAAAATTTGATGAATTAAATCAAAATAATAAAACAAAAATCAGAATTATAACTGAGGGCTTATATAAAAAGAAGTTATTCAAACATCATCAAAAATTAGTTAGTTACTATAATTTAAATAAAAATGAAGCTAAAAAAGAAGATTATAAGTCATTCAAATATTGTGAAAAAATTACTGAATGTAAGCATTCCAATAGATAAAGTAACCCTAGACTCTGCTATGAAAATAGAATTGGAGATAAAAATAATAACCATCAAGGTATCTATTTATTACCAGATACTAGCTAGTACAAGTAATGATAGTATTGGTTATAAACCTTTAAATCTCAGGTATCACTAGTCAAAAGCTGGCAAATCAGGTATAAATCAGGTATGCTGTATTTAAAACTGATAACTACCTGATTATTGTCAATTTTTAAATTTGGCAGCCTGATTGATGCCAATTTATGGTGCAAATCGGCATACAATCTAGACAAAATCAAACATCAGCCAGATATTGATCAGGTATTAATTAATAAATAGATCAAACTAAAAATATGTATATACGCATAAGTTCATGCTGTACCTGATATCATGCTTAATTTTTTAGTGTGTAGTATAGTTAGGTAATTAAAACTTTAATTGAGAGATTGAAGCTCCAAACAGGGAGATTAAAACTCCAATTGAAGCTTCAAGTGAGAAATTAAACCCTATACGAATTAAAGATATATAATGGTGTAGTGAAAGGAAAAACAGTTGTTAAAATAATTATTGATAATTAGATGTATTGATTTATATTAATAAAGAGAAACTCTATAACCTGTAATTCTATAAGTTAGTTTATTGATTTAAACCCTTTAACCTTAATCACTAATTGTTCACGATTGAAGCTAAATTGGTTCAAGATCTATAAAGCTCTCTCACTGGTCATTACATCTGATTAAAATTAGAGTATCTCTGTAATTTAAAAATTATTAATTTTAATCTGGGTACGAACCTATTAGTCTAATTAGATTAGAACCAGTTTTAATAAAACCAGATCCAAAATTCTTAAGTCTAATTTGTTCTGACTTATCTTAATTTATCACTTTATTTGATTTTTTTTGTTTTATTCAATGAATCTTTTTATTAATTTATTTAAATAATTACAAACCGGATTAACCCAAAATAAATAAAATATATATGGTGCAATCA